TCCTCCATTAAATATCCACTGCAGGACGGAGCCAAGGGAGGGCCTTCAAACCTTGGACTAAAGCGACTACTGAGTGCAATGCATGGCCCTGGATTTGCTTTTGTTCTGAAGCATGTGCATTCACTGCTCATCTGTCAGGGGGCTTGCGTGTTACTATGATGTTGAACTGGTTTCAGCGGAGCTTCCAGACTTAGACAGACTAGCTACTGGCTAGCTACTTCCAAAAATCAACCAATGAAAACCCTTTGGAGCAAAACAGTGCGATGTGTAATTAGTCACGGTGATGGTGCAAGGCTGGGCAATGTTTAGTTCCATTGTGGTGCATGGGGGGGTGGGGTGGGGCGGGAACAAAGGGTTGACTTGACAGCTTGTAACTGTCAAATTTTCCAAGTTAAGAAAAGATTTTGAGTGAAGTATATACCTTGGAAGATGTAAAATAGAGCCAATTCTGTAGCGGATCCAGCCCCTTTCCCCTCTTTCCCTTTGTTCACTCAACCTTCAACAACCTTGGGGAGGTCAGTCTGAGGATCTACCCCACACAGATGGGAAATGCATATTATGAAAACACTATGCACAGATTACAATGTTTTTTAGGTACTGCAGTAAACTTGTGCTCGTATGTCATAAGAAGCCCTGGTGGCACAGTGGTTGCACACTGGGCTGCGGCCAGTGCTTCAGAGGGAAAGACAGGGCCTTCTCCTCCTGTGAAGACGTCCAGCCCCAGACTCCCCCAGGGGCAGGTCTCCCCGTCCTCCAGGTCACCATGATTGGCATCAACTGGATGGCAGCCAGTCTGTTTGTTGTTCTTTCTCTTTTTTCCTTTTAAAAAGCGTTTTACTGTGAATTAGGTGAAGGCTTACAGAGCAGATCAGTTGTTCACTCAAAAATTCTTACATATTTTGTTTCATTTCTTTTTTTAATCATTTTATTGGGGATGCATACAATTCTTATCACAATCTATCCATCCATCCATTGTGTCAAGCACGTTAGTACATTTGCTGCCAGCATCATTCTCAGAACATTTTCTTTCTAATTGAGCCCTTGGTATCGGCTCCTCATTCTCCCCCCCATTCCCCCCACTGGTGTGTCTTTCAACATGCTATAACACTGAAGCGAGACCAAAGGTCAAGTTGGATGACTGGCGAAGCTGTTCCTCCTTTACATACATCTTAAGAGTGCTATTCCCCAAAGAAGTGATCCGTTGACAAATGGATACTTCACTTTTTAAAAAGCAGTTTTATTGAGATGTAATTCACATATCATGCACCTCCAGAGTTCGTCCGTGTTAAAAAGAGTTGTACAGTCATCGCCACAATCAGTATTAGCTCCTTATTTCCCTTCAACCTCCACCTTAGAGAGGACCCTGATGCTGACAAGTGCCACTTTAACCACTGGTTCACTGAACTGGATAAAAAATGAGATATTGGTTCTGCTGAACTGTACCAACTGGCTGAATCCCACCACTGGCCTAGAGCATCCAAAATCAGGACACAACAAACAGCCTTCCTGCCTGATTTGGTGACTCCTGCCAGGAGCTGCCTTTTCCACCACCACCTTGATGACTCACAAGGAGGAGGACACAGGATGGGGGGAAACATGCCCTCACCCGGGGGCGGGGGAGACTTAGAGGGCACCACAAACACAAAACCAAACCCATCCAGCACATTCCAACCTTCAGTGACCTACAGGACAGCCTAGACCTGTCCCTGCGGGTTTCTGAGACAGCAATCCAAATGGGGGTAGACCACCGCAGCTGAGATAGTTTATTGTGCCAGCCTGGCCGATAAACACAAGTGGGATTAACTGAAGGGCAGAGAGATAAATGCCTTGGTGAGTCTCGCCTTTCTTGTCTCTCGCTCTTTGATCATCGGACCAGTGTGC